TACAGAGAGGGTGTGGTATCCCCTTATACCCACAGTGAAAAGATGATCTATCCAAGCACCTGAGAAGAGTCTTAAAGGGAACAGCAAGGGCATTACATCTCTTTAGAACTATAAAATTTATTAAAATGAAAGATATATGCTGGGTGTGGCAGTGCACTCCTTTAGTACCAGCACTAGGGAGGCAGAGGCAGGAGGATCTCTGTGAGTCCAAGGCCAGCCTGGTCTGCAAAGTGAGTTCCAGGACAGCTGGGACTACAGGGAGACCCTGTCTCAAAAAGACCAAAGTAAATAAATAAATAAGTAAAAAAAATAATAATAAAAAATTTAAAGATATATGGAAGGGATTTGAATGTAAGAGTTTTCAGTAAATCCATAGGAATTGGTCTGCAAACTGTAAGCTGAGGCAGGAGGATCTCAAGGTCAGCCTGGGCAACTTAGTGAAATCCTGTTTCAAATTTTTAGAAAATAAAAAAAGAGCACTGGGAACATGATTCAGTGGTAGAGCACTTGCCAAGTAAGTGTAAGGCCTTAGGTTTAATCCCTAGTCTTTTATTCCTCCTTCCCCTGAAAGAAACCAAAACAACTGACTAGGGAGACTAGACAGCTCACAGATATATTGTAGATACTAGTAATGCCGCATAAGTAGAACAATGAGCTGTCAATCTCACTGTTTCACTTTTCCCAATGTAGAACAAAATATAAACAAACAGCATTCAATTACCCATGGAAACTGAAATGGAAAGAAACAGCCCAAGATTACTTCAAAGCATAAATGTACGGGAGTGCCATACCACATCTAACCCTATTCTGACCTACCCATCCCATTGCTCACAAATCTCAGTCACTCTAAATTCAATTAGCTGACAAGCTTTTCTTTCAAAATCAGGGATTTTGAGTGGTGTCTGACACTCACATAAATGAGTAGATACAAATAATTTTACTGAAAATTCAGAACGAAAGATACTGACAACTAAGAACAATGTCAAGTAGTTTTTGAATCATACCAAGCTGTCTAATGAAAACGAGGGTACAAAGGATTCAAGAAACGGTGGATTTGAAAGGCATCTACAAAGTGTAAAAATGGAACTTTTGATAGCTAAGCTAGCATGAGGGCATTGACACCTAATACCCTGAGAAGAAAGTATTGGAGAAGGTCCTCACCATCAAAGAAGTGAAAACAATATATAGGATGGAAGAAAACTTTTCACAAATCACATATACAATGAGATTTATATTTAGAACATATAAATGTTAGAAGGAATTCTTACAATTCAATAATGAAAATACAACTCAAGTTTAAAAAAAAGTACAAGGGACAAGATGGTATACAATACATGGTGCACAGGTAGTAAGAAATGAAGTTCCACGTCATAATTATGAGGGAAATACAAATCAAGCCTACCATGAGTTATCATTTTGAATCCCATTGACTGGCTGAAATAAAAACAACAGGCAAAAACAAGTATTGGTAAGGTTGTAGATCATTTAAAACCTTTAAAAACATCTGCTGGGAATGTAAAATGCTGCAGTGTTTTGGAAAAGCCTAGCAGTTCTTCAAAAAGTGAAACAGGGAATGGCCATATGACACAACAATTTCATTACCAGGTATTATATCCAAGAAAAATGAAAACATGTCTACACAAAATGCATACAAAACATTCATAGCATGTTATTACTGGCAAAAAAGGAAAACAATGCCTATTGACGTAATTCAATATTATTAGATTACAAACAGTAATGAATACAGGCTCCAACTTGGGTGAACTTTGAAAACATTACTCTAAGATCAAAGAACTTAAAAGTGCACATGCATGTGCTTACACACACACACACACACACACACACACACACAATCATATTGTAACGTTCTATTTATATGAAACATCTGGACTAAACCTGTCGAAGCAGAAGATAGAGGCTGCTTGGAATTAGGAGGGCAGAATAAAGGGGAAGGGAGGGAGTAACTGCTAAAAGTACAAGGTTTCTTTCAAAAGTAATGAAATTGTTCTAAAATTGAGTGTAGTAATGGCTGTGCAACTCTTAATATACCAAAAAACCAATGAATTGTGCACTTCAAGTGAATGAATTGTATGGAATGTAAACTGTAAAAGGAAAAGGTTCCCTGCCTGGTATTTTCTACAACAGTTAATATAATAGGTGTCTCTTAAAATGGCCAAAAGTGGCTAGCAGGTGCTCCACACAGTGAAATTAGTAAAATAACAGTATCTGAACTGGATGCCACGAATAATGTTTGGGAACTGGGTATGGGTGGCATATCATAAAATATGAAAGATGTTCTCTCTAGCCCTAGGAACTTAACGAAAAAGCAAAACACCCAATAGTGAAAAATGAGAGGTACGAAGCAGATAATCCTGAGGCACGATAAATAACTTTGGACAGGGTGGACTTTGTTTGGATTTACCTAAACAAAGTCTTCGAAAGACAGAGGATTGTGAAGAGAGGGAAAAGCGAGGGCCAAGCTATTCATACTCAGGGAGTCAAGAGTTATCAAATTTGGGCCAAGGGGGAATGCCGTGGGAGAACAGTAGAGAACGAGTGCAGGACTACTCTAGGGACTCAGCCGGCAGTTTATTACAGTAACATGCCCATCCCTCAACCTGGGTCAGAGCCGTTTTCCATTTCATAAAGACTTTTCAGAAGTAAAACGCTCCAACAGGCTGGGATGTATTCTTTCTTAGTAAAGTTAAATCCACACTGGACCTCTATCAACAGAGCTCACTTCACATCTTAAAAAGCGCAATAATCCACGAGAGAGCTTCGTGCTAAAGAACGAACGATGTGGTTCGGTTCGGATCAAAGCTGGAAGAACAGCATAGCTGTGCCCAGGCGGGTAAACTGAGGCAGCCACGAAGTCCTAGGTGTCGGGGACGAACAGACCTGGAGTCAGCGGCGGGCAGAGGCGACGCGAGGGTATCCCGGGCACCGCATCTTACTTAGAGAACTGTGCTGGGCGCTCCGGGCAGATGCGGGTGGCTCCCAGTCGGGCCTCCTCAACAGCCTTGGGTTTCCATGGCTAGCATCAACTAGGGCTCGCACCTCCCAACCGGGGCAGTGCGCACGCGCGGGCTCGGGGGCGGCCCCGCCCCGCCCCATCCCAGCCCGCGGTCTCTGCCGGCGGCGGTCCGGGGACGCCGAGCGGCGGAGCGGGGAGGAGTGGCGCTGGCGTCGGGAGCACCGTGGGCAGTGGGGGATGCGAGGGCTCCGGTACCTTTCTGGCCCGGAGCGGGCGGGAGCGCCACCTCTGAACTTTCACCCGGTCACGCTGCTACGCAAGAGCGTCGTTGCCGTGGTGATTGGACGTTCCGCCTCTGGGCGTTCTGCTGGCTGGAGGGATGCTTGTCTGCCATTTTGGGAGGCTGGGACTTCTCAGCTGCGCAGGTGGCCCTTCCCTGACTCCTGAGTCTAGCAGGATTCCGGCCTCTTAGGGTCAAGTGACCTCCGTTAATGATCTCAGAACTGAGGCCATTCAAGGCACCACACCCGCAGTAGTGAATGGTTTTCAGTGGTAACAAATGTACCGCACCGTATATGACTTGGAAGATTTGAAACTTCGTACATGTACACTTCATTTTTCGCACTTAACGAGATACCGCCTTTTGTTTACAAGAATGAGAATTTGTGACCACCCTTACTCTAGTGAATCTCTTGGTACCACCATTAACACGTGTCCACTTTGTTGTTACATGTTGGTAACTTGCAAAATATTTTAAACGTTTTCATCATTTGCTATGGTGATTTACGTTCCAATGATTTCTTTTTGCTCTTCGTACTGTAACAGTTTGGGGGTGTTATGAACTGCATCCATGTAACACTGAAGCTGTCAGTGGCAGTGGGGCAAGAGCCAGAGGCATGGGATCCAGCTTGCTACCCTAGCAGCCTCAGTGCTTTTCAGGAAAATCTACTCAGGTGAAGCTGGGATCCTTGAGTTTGCCACGGGAAAGAATTTCTGGAAGGGTTAATATGAAGCACAGTTGGAATTTATTAGTGACTTTAACATAGTTTTAAACGGGTTAATAGAGGTGCTCAAGAAAAAGGTAAGGAGACACCTAAGTTTAAGTGTGGGCTTCTCAAGAGAGTCCTGTTTGTCTTTACAATAGCCATATATACCATGTTGGTGATTTCATAAATTACATTTGAAAGACTGCTGAGGAGCGCATATAATGAAGTGGTTCCTGTCATGTATTGGGTAAAATTAGAGCTGATGAGGTAATATCTTAAGTCACAAGATTTGCACAGGAAGTTAGGATGCTTTGATATGGTTTGTGAGAATCCAAGAAAATTTCAGGTTTACATCAATCTGGGAAAGGAGTAAGGCCATGCTTAAGGTCCTAGCTTGACTCAAAGCTATTTTAACATTCTTATTTGACAGATTTCTGTGTAAATGGAATACTGGGGCCTGGAGTGATGGCTCAGTGGTTAAGAACACTTGCTATTCTTCCAGAGGACCGGGGTTTGAGTCCCAGAACCCACTTGGTCACTAACAACCATCCATAGCTCCAATTCCAGGGGATCTGACATCCTCTTCTGGCCTCTGCAGCCTTTGCACAACATGGATGCACTTACATACATGTAGGCAAAACACTTACACATACCATAAAAATAAATGAAAGGAATACTGTTTCTCTGTAGCCAGCCTTCACAGAAAATTTTACCTGTACTGGAATTCACTTGCTGAGCCATCCAACCAGCACTGTGCTGAATTTCTTGACTCCCAGACTCTGAAGTAAAAGTCTTCTTTCCCTTACCATGTTCCCCTATTTTTCCCTTTTAATTCTGCCTCAAACTTAACTGATAAGTGTGCTTTGACCATTCCACTGATTTGATTTGTTGAGTTTATTTTTCTCCCACTTCTCCAGCTTCCCCTAAGACAAAACTCCATTGGAATTCAGCCAATAGTCCTATAATGGCCTCTAAGTGTTCAAGTGAAATGAAGAGTCACTTATCTCTCACTTTAAATCAAAAGCTAAAAATGCTTAGGGAGGAAGGCATTCCAAAACCAACACAGGCTGAAAGCTAGGTCTCCTGAACCAACCAATTTTGAATTCAAAGAAAACTTCTGGAAGGAAATTGTTACTCAAGAGAATAGATAGATAATAAGAAACAGCTATAGTGCTGATATGGAGAAAGTATTAGTGGTCTGGATAGAAAAATCAAGCAAGCCACAACATCCCCTTTAAGCAGAGAGTAATTCAAAGTAAGACCCTAAGTTTCTTTAATTCTATGGGGGCTGAGAGAGGTGATGAAATGGCAGAAGAAAGTTTGAAGCTAATATTCAGTGTTTCATGGGGATTAAAGAAAGTTTTGTGGCTGGAGAGATGGCTCAGCAGTTAAGAGCACTGGCTGTTCTTGTAGAGGATCCAAGTTCGATTCCCAACACCCACATGGTGACTAACAACCATCTGTAACTCTAGTTCCAGTGGAATCCACTGCCTTCTTCTGACCTGCATGGGCATTGCCTGACATGGGTACACTTACATACATGCAGGCATATACTCAATACATATAATATATATATATATATATATATATTTATTTATTTATAAAGAAACTGCTTTTGTAACAGCATAGCAAGGGAAAGCAACAAGGGCTAATGTAACAGCTATGGTAAGTTATCCTGAAGACCTAGCTAAGATATTTAAAGAGCAAATTGTCAGTGCAGAAGTAGAGCTTGAAGATGTGACTGAGTTATTGTACTCCCATGATAAAACTTTAATGAGGAGGAGCTGCTTCTTAGGAATCAACAAAAGAAGTGGTCTATAAAATGGAATCTATTCCTGGAAAAGGTGCTACTAATATTGTTGAAATGGCAACTGAGGATTTAGACTATTATGTAAGTTTTCTTGAAGCAACAGAGATTGAAAGAATTGACCCCAATTTTGAAAGTTCACTGTGGCTAAAATGCTATCAAACAGCATCACTTGAAATCTTTTGTGAAAGGAGTTATCAGTCGGTGCAGCAAACTTTTGCCTTGTTTTAAGAAATTTCCCCACCCATGTGGGTCTCTCCCTTCCCTCGTGGGCCATTGGCCACCGATCCACAAGGACAAAGGGAACAGAAGCGACGAATGGGTCAGGACAGCCAGTGAGCACAGAGAAAAAGACCTTCCAGGGAGTCAGATTCAGTGATACAGCTCCATTTATTCAGTGGGGGTCAGGGAAAAATATAGTGTGGAGGCAGTAGCCAAAGCTTCAGCTGATGGGTGCTCATAGTATGCTTTATTTACATGTGGTAGGGGGATCCTATCACCTGGCTATAGGGAAGTGCCTAATTATCATGTAGAAAAAAACCTGGGGGCAGTTTTATTGCAGGTAACTATGTCAAAGGTCATGTTCCAAATAAGGTCAGGCATCCGTGCTTGGAGGCACTTTCCAGATAAGTCAGGCAGTGAACAGGAGGCCCCCGCTGAGAAAGGGAGTCCTTCCATATAGCGCCAAGCCCCTTAGAGCTATCCAGACATGGTGGACAGAAACCTTAGCAGCAGGTCTCCCAACATCTCCCCCTGTTTTGTTTTATAATGGAGAAGTGTCATCACAAGCTTTAAGAGCCAACTCATCTATCTCGGGAGAATCCAAAGTCTGATAATTGACCATGACCTGATTGGTAGTAATTTTTGCAATGGTAGTAATTTGTCGGTGAAGAAACTGTATGAAACAGGGAGCAAGCATCAAAATGACACACAGCATGATCAGGGGGCTAACAAAGAGTAGGAGCCATGAAAGCAAGGGGTTACTAAACCAACCTAATTGTTCGGTGGGTTGAAATCTTGAAAATAGATCATTATGAAGTTTTTTGAGAGTATTAACATTGGTCTTGACAACATTTGATTCATTTACCAAAAAAACAGCATTCCTCTTCCAATACTACACACATCCCCCCGTGTTCAGCAATTATTAGGTCTAGTGCTCTTCTGTTTTGGAGCACAACCCCGGCAAGAGAGTTCATTTGTCATTGGAGAGACTTAAGGCTGTCAGTTGTGGATGCCATTGCCTGATCAAGCTTGTCTTGAAAGTCTCCTGCCAGGTGATGGGTTTGTACAATAGCAGCAGTCGCAGCACCTCCAGCACCCAGGGAGAGGGTGAGCCCAAGTCCCACTAGCAGGGGGATGAAGATTTCTCTCTGCTGGCAGGTGTGAAGGAGTAGGGTGGCCTCTTCTTCCTCGAATAGGTACCCCTGGGGAGTAATCATCACAGGTACACAAAAGGTGGACAAAGAGGAGTTAATACAGTGTTGGGCTTTTCCTTTGTACCACAGAAAAAGAGAAGGGACAACGCATGCTGTTCTGGAGAGAGCAATGTTAGTGAGACATTTGTAATGAGTAGGCTTATGATTGCTGGAAATGCAAATTGGATAGTTAGCCAGTTGTTCAAATAAGGGAATATCCATCAGATGAGAGATGGTGAAATCTTTGTTTCTGGGTAAAGAAGGGTGGTATTAACTGGTACTGCTGTCAGTAAAGGTCTATTGCTGGATGCATAAAAGAAACAGAGGTGTTAGGCTGGGTGGTGAAGGGAAGAAAGTTAGCAACATATTGAATGTATTGGCTCTAAGACATAGTTGATCTTATCTGGTCCTTTGTTTTTCCTGTAGAATAATATTATGATGAGTTAGCATGGGCTTAGCTGCAGGTACAAGCTGTCGAGAGATTTTAAAGTCAGCCATAGGGTAGCTAGAGAATGTACCTGGGTAGAAATTTCCTGTTACTCTGACACACCAGCAATCGTCCCACGGATCTGCAACATATATTAGGGAATAGTCATGGTTCCCATAGAGATACTTATTATCCTTTAGGTAGATGGGTCTTTCCTGTCCTGTTATATCCTGATATCCCCCCGTTAATCCTAGTTCCAACCTACAGGGATTGAAATAGTGGCAGCCCCCATAGGTATCAACTTCCTTGAGGCATGATGGATCTGTCTGTCGGAAAGGAAAACAAACATTCATTAGTTTTGTATCTGCTAGCATTTGGGTGTATTATGATTTTTATGGGTTTTTGGCAGCCCACTAGGGGGCAGTCTGTGGTTCTGATTATTTGATTTTGTTCCTTGATATGTTTCCCTGACATAAAATCTCCAGAGCATAGTACTGGGGGGTGGGGCTGACCGAAGCATTTTTTTGGGCAATTTTCTTTCCAGTGTCTGGTAGGTCTCCACATTTAAAAGATTTTGAGTTGGGTTGGGTTGCAGCTACAAAGACCTGGGC